TGGGGGAACGCAAAATGTCAAATTGTGACGTCACCAAAATGAGTTAAATGCATTTCTAAATTTCAAAGTCAAACTTAATCATCTGAACGAGCTTCAGAAGGGGAGTAAAACAGCGAAAACTGTTTCTCACTACGACACGTAAAACGCGAGTTATAGGACTTCAAAGAAATTTAAGTGCCCCTTTCCTCCCGCCCCCGAAACCATACTTTTCCTTAAAAAACGATCCCTATGATATTTTTTTCACAGTTTTTTGCAAAATATACTGATTTTCTGGTAACACAAACCTTTCATATAATTGGCCAAAATCGTATCATTTTAGAATTTCGTTTTTTGACTCAAAAACACTAATTTAAGCAAACCAAAAAAATGATCACAAGACATTTTATGATGTCACAAAATGCTTTCCATGTTTTCGTGCAGTTAGGAATTTCTTTTTCTTCAAATTTCCTTTTCCTTTAGCTTTCGACAGTAAAGATGTGTTATGTTTAACTTAAATAGCAAGGGCGACTCGACAATAAATCTCTTAAATTTAGCATTATTTTGTAAAGGGGTATCCCATTTTTGTGCTCCGAATTTATCCAAATTCAAAATGTTATATGTCAGCTCATATCTGAGATACTGGAAAATGTTTTCAGCTTTCAACTCCCCTTGAATAGTTCTTTGAAAAACAGTATGAAAAATTGGGAGATTCAAAATTTTACAATTTACGTAGGGAATGAAGTCAGCAAATGTGACGTCCTAATTTGATATTTGGAGTCTTCCTATGAGCCATTTTGATTGGCTTGATGTTTCGTATTTTCAGGCCAAGTTTGGTAATGAAAGAGTTAAAGCAAACAAAGTTATTCTAAATTGATCAAAATTGTCACGCTTTGATGATTCCTTTGGGGGGTGGTTTGGCGCTTTGGCCCCACCGGACAATGGCATTGTGACCCGGCCAAGCAACGATACAGTGTAACAAAAAGTGTATATTATAAATTAATCACAAAATGTTGGTCTTATTTACTGAAAGATATATAGTCCTGTAGTTTAGTTATTAGGGTTCACGAAAAGTTGCTTATTGATTGCTTAACAATTTGATTGACCTTTAGAGTTAGTTATTGGTATTGCCAGAGATTAACTGAGTGGGAAATTTTTATAAGTTTGATATGTGGGGCAATGGTATATACAATCCCTTTTCTTCTTCTGTTTGCTTGGGAATAATTCTGGTGGAGAGTTGATAGTACAGGCCTGTCACCAACATTGCGATGCCTTGTGTGTTGAGTTTGTTGTAGGTTTTCACCCTTGCTATGAAAGGTTTATCTCTAAGCAATCCAGTGTCCTTCTCTCCTCTAAAACCAAATTCTATTTTGTTCTGGATTGATAAGTAAAGAAACACCTTGCAGATGCGTTGCCACTAAATATTTTTTATTTATTAATGCCTGAGTCGCACATGGAGGTTGGTTGCCTAGGAACCTGGGGGCTGGAGCCACCGACCCTTAACCCAGGTAGCTAGAACACCCTACCTCTAACAGCCTTACGTTTTGCCCCATCTAGTGCTGTTTCGTTCGACTTGCTCATCAAAGTCACCCAACCCTCGCCCAAGCACCTGTCACACTGAACCGAGAGTTCAGTGGAGAAGTAAGGACAATAATAATACTAATAATAATAATAAGAGGTGAGGAGGGAGGGGGAAAACACTAAAACTGAGCAAGACACCCCAAACACTATGCATTGTTAAACTACAAGCACATGTAAACCCGCATGCAAAAATTGCAACGCTTGAGTAAACCACTGACCCAGGGAGCACTGAAATTTGCCCCACAACAGGCCTAGTACAGTGACGCAAACACTTGCAAAATACGCTAGAGCATAGGATAACTTCCAGCTCACCAAAGCACGCCAATAAAATGCTAACAAACACAAAGGCCACACCAATGCCATGCTAACGTCAAGTCAACTACTGAACAGCAGAGTATCTCCTTGTTGTCAACTAAGTTAAATAGGTATATTTGACCTCATTTTACCTACAGTGAAACCTTTATTAAGCGGACACCCTCGGGGAATGCTGTCCGCTTAATACAGGGTGTCCGCCTAATACAGGTTTCGATAGATAACGTCATATGAGGTGTCAAATGCCATTCAAATGAACAGTGGAAACGTTTAGAATACTCCCAGAGACTATGACGATATACGTTTGCATTAATTTCTTTATTAAAGAGGACCAATTGATCATAGTACCATAAACATAGATTGCAACTCAAATTTGAAGAACTCAGATGAGTGAAACAAGCTCTATACAAACAAACGAAATAGAATACAGTACTGTACTGTGAAACTAATCAAATAAGTTTGTCAAGTCACGTTTTTTAATGTAAAAATCGAAAAATTTGTGGGTGGCGATCTTTCGCATTTCCGGTGTCTGGCATGTTGGGTGGTGGAATTTAATTACAAGTGTCCGTTTAATACAGGTTGGCAACAATAGAAATGACCATTTCAGGTACTTTTTAGGTGTCCGCTTCCGCTTAATACAGGTGTCCGCTTAATAAAGGTTTCATTTAAAGTAAATAAGAGAAATAAATTTGGGGACCTCGGCTACTGTCCGCTTAATAGAGGGTGTCCGCTTAATACGGTGTTCGCTTAATATAGGTTTCACTGTTTTTGACAATGTATCCAATGAATGTACTAATTTACTTGGCAAAAAGATTATTTCTTGCAGAGTTCCTGGGCTGTTCACATGCACATTGCCTAGTGAATGCAATCAACTTTCTCTGGCACTATGTCTCTTCCTTAGAGATGTCTGCCTCGTAGAGAGTGAACAAAGGCAGGGGCCAATTCTAGGTCTCCATTCTAGCAAGGTATCTGTCTTATAGAGGCATCCATTAAGAGAGAGTTGAGAGTATACTAATGTCCTGAAGAAAAACTCTTTGAGAATGGCATTCATTTCAACTGGAACTCAGTTTTTGCTTTCCTTCATATGATTTCAGCGAGGTGGTCCAGATTAGACATGATGTCCCTGCTGGCTGGAATCTTTCTCCATGACCTTGGAATTATTTAAGCTGTGGCCAAACTTTGCTGAATGCAAAGTAATTCAAGGAAAAAGATAAATATCACTCCTTGACTTTGAAACTTTGACCAGTCATTTTTGATGAAGACAAAAATAATAATGTGGACTGCAGTGAAAGGAGGTTAACTTTTATAAGAAAATATAATGTTATTTACAGTTGTTGGCAGTGCCTGGAACTGAGTTATTTGCGACACATGCTCATCGGCGTTTTGTATACTTGAAACAATTTGAACAAGAAATATGAAGAAATTTAATCTCTCAATAATTAGAACTGATGATCAAGAACTCGGCCATAGTAATAATATTACCTGTACCTTACCTTACCTCTTCACCTCTCCATTGTGTAAAAGGCCTGGTTTCAGTTGTGGTATTTTTTTAATGGGGATGGGACATTAACATGATGGATGGGACATCCAACATCATCAACATCTCAACCTGGAAGGCCAGTTGTTGCAATTCATTTGTCCATTCATTCAAACCTGTCATAGCCTGCGCAGCAGTCATTTCCATTTCCTTTTAGGCCAAGCCGGGCAAGCACGAAAGACGTGCAAGGCAGAAATGAGCAAAAAAAATTGCTCCGCAGGCTAAACCTGCCAAGCATGGTTGAATCTACAGGGGACCAGGGTCCCAACTGGTAAAGCTTCCAGAGCCATCAAGGTACACAAACCTCCCCATCACAAGCAAAAAAAATCTTCTTCAAAACTCAAGAAAGATGTGACTGAAATGAAAAAATGGTAATGGGTTGTCTGTGTTATTTAAGAAATAGAAAACATTTTGCGTATTTGCTTAGCCTGATATAAACATGACGTCTCAGGTTTGCATAACTGTCTCAAATTCTCCCAACCCCTTCAGTGTTCATATCAGGCTATGCAAACACAGGAAAACACAGTTTTCTATTGCTTTTATGAAATAACTTTCCCGAGAGAAAACACAAAACTCTTTGTTATGACACTGATTAAAAGAGAAATTCTTACCAGTCACAAAGTTTTGTACGCAAAGTCTTGCATACGTAATCAGTTCTTGTTTTGCAAAAAGATGCTATTCAAAACACGGATTTTTCTCACTTAAAATGTCAGCTTAAGCAAAAAAAAATTGACACACCTTCTTTGTAACAATTTTCAAAGTTTCAGCTGTCGGAGGAATGGGTAAGTAAAGTAAACTTGTCGAGTTTTGAACTTGAAAACTCTTTCAAATTCGTGCTTGCGTGAATAGCACACGAAAAGCAAAACAGCTTGACGCCACAACCATGTTTACTTACTCTCATGTAAACACTCCTCTCGGCCAATCAGAGCGCATGTACTGCCTTATTTTTTTTATAAATTGATGTGTAGCTCACCAATGGGCTGTGGTTACCTTTGCTTTATTCTTTGAGGACCGGAGGGGGCTACATTACTAATTCTTGGTTGGGACTCAAGTATCCTTAGCTTATACTATTAATATTACTTGTACTAACAGGTTTTTTCCCCATTTTGCTGCCCCATTCTAGACTAGGCACCAAAATTCCTACTCGGTTCTAGGCTAACTATAAAGAAACTTGAATCATTCATACATGTATTCCCTATTTTAGAGCAAGGTCCTCTGATTTCTATACCCTTTAACCAATAAAACTCCTTGTGAATCAACCATGTGCAAGTAGTAGGCATTTAAGCCAAGGAAGAAGGCCATTGAAAGATAGTTGCCATGTGTGTTTAAAGGTATTCATTGAGTGAAATCAATATTGTATACAGTGGTAATCAATATCAAATATGTGGCATCACTTTTCAGTATTGCCTGCCAATAACCTTTATAACCTGCCCAGTTTGTAATTATTTGTTACATAATAATTATGTCTATTTGTATGATCTGTGAGCGAATCATTTTAAACGGAGAAGGCACACTCGTTTCCAGTCCCCCGAAGCAGAGCAGAAGTACGTGAACTGTCGTTTAACAAATCAGTAAAACTAAATAAAATTTAGGTATGGCAGGAACCCCTTTGGAAACGTTTTTGTTGGACTTGGACGAAAAAAGAGGGAAACTACCTTGCTGCCAGGAAATTTCTCTTATTCAGCGGCGTGTAAGAAAAGTTATTAATGCTATTCTACTGGAAGTTTGGAGAGAAAATCCCTTCTTCAAGACAACGCTTATCAACAGTGGCAGCTTTTATGAAGGAACTAAAGTGGGAAAGCCTGACGAGTTCGACTTTTTCATACAGCTTGATGCTTTGTCTTCTCCAGAAGATGTTAATTTTAAGGAACTTCCTTGTTCTACTGTGTGCGTGATCCCAAGCAAAGCAGCTTGCGAGAATGTGAGGTTTGCATTTACTGATCGAGAATATGGATCACATTATATGCCGCTATTTGACCTTGGCGATTTTGAGTGGAAGAGAACCATCAAGACGCCATTCTTCAACATATTCAACAGCAAAGCCAAAGATTTTGAAGCATATGGGATGAAAGTTGTGTTGCCATATGAAGGAGACGATATAGTGAAAGCACCACTTCCCTTATCGAAACACGGACCAGCATACGCTTTATTGTTGGAATGGAATGGTGGAGAATCGGATCGTTACAAAGGAATGAAAATCAGTGTAGATTTGACATTAGCCGTGAGAATAAACTCAAAATCAACCTTGCGTGGTCTAGAGTTTGATTCCCCAAGCGGTCGAGTTCTGAAGTCTGTCCTAGACAGTCTGCCATATTTCCTAGCTGTTGGCTCCTACAGGGATCTTCTTTCTGAAGAACACCCAGACTACTTTAAGAAGGAGGAGGAACAGCACCCTGGATTGCGGCCGATTAATTTCGTTTTGCGCTGTTCTCAATCGTCTTTTGAGCAGTTGCTGTTTGTTCAAGAATTTGGCTCGGACAGTGGTCAAAGCAAATGCCTTTAATAGGTTACTGAAAGTGTTGCGTGACATGATTTTTCCTGATGCAGAACACAGCATGGCGGAAACAGGAAAAACGGACAAGATCAAAGACTTTAATCTTGCATATTGGATCTCCATGGCAGACGACCCTTCAGATGACACCGGGAAATTGATTTCCTCTTACGTCCTCAAGACTCTAGTGTTGTATGAATGGCAGAAAAACACAGACGCTAAGTTGTGGACCGGAAGTAACCTAACTCAGCGCTTGATTAGCATCCTTCAAGAGCTGGTGAGACGCTTGAAGGGCAAAAAACTGGCAAGCTTCTTTTATTCTGACTATAGCTTGTTTAAGAAGGATTCTCTTGACGTGCACTTTTCAAATGCTGTCGCCATTATTCAAATACTTGTAGATCGGCTTTTATCTTTCAAAAACGTGCCAGAGTACAAGTTTGAAGAGTGCTTAAAGAAAATCGCCCAAGACTCAGTGATAGTCTGTCGAAAGGAGAAGTTAACCACTTTTTTCTCCTGTGGATTGCGCCATACCTCCTCTGATTTTGATATACTTCAAAAGGTAATTGAAAAGTCACTGATAAACCAGGGGAAGGGAGAAATTTATGAGTCGCGTGAAAGTACATGTAAGAATAGACATCCAATGGAGGGTCTGGAGGGACTACACTGATTTCAAGTGGAGGGTGAAGAACGTACACAATTTGTGGAAATTTACATTGAAGCTTTCTTAGATCATATTGCTCCCGAGGAAAGCTTGGCTTTTACAAATATCAAGGTCAAGGCTCTTGAATCTTTAAGCTGCGCGGTAAAACAGTTTAAAGACATAGCGCGTCGGAGAATGGCTGGACGCGATTATTTACCCAGCTACACACTTTGGAGCCAGGAACACTGGACAATCGAACAGCCAATTTACTAGTTGACTTCTGATGAGCCAAAAAAATTACTCGCATTACTCTTCAAAATGTTTCGGGAAGACATCAAAGTGCTTCACGATAAGTTGCATGGTTGTTAAATGCGGTATTTTTGAAGTTGGCGTGACTGGGAGTGTATAAACCCTCTCTCCGGACGGGACAACTTTTGTCCATGTAAACGGGACTAGCCTGCGTAGCAGGTGCTTGGAAGTAGCGGGCGAAAGAGAGAACGGGCGCGCGCGGGGAGACACGCAAGGGGTGACTACTTCCAAGCGCCTGCTACGCAGGCTAAAACGGGACCTAAAAGAAACATATTACAGCGGTTACCACTAACACGCGCCCGTGAATGGTTTTTTCTCTCTGTTGAAACCTGCGTTTTCGTGAACGTCAATCAACTGTGCCGACAGGAGCCCATCAAATTTGATGGGCTCCTGGTGCCGATGGTTTTTTCACGTGCTCTGACAGAGAAGGTTCCCTGCTCGTTGATTGAACATGAAGGGCGAAGACTTACTAGAATAGTTTCGAATGACAATCTCTCTCCTCTGAAGAGGCCTCTTTATATGTTAGGGGGGCTGGGGAGAAAGAAAACGAGCGTCCTCCGTGCGCTTTCTATTTTTCGATTATTACTATTTATATGGGGATACCCAGCGGGAGCCTCTGCGGAGGAGAGAGGTTTCGAAGGACGACAGCGTTTTTAAATTTATTTATTTCATTAAGAAAGATTATATTGTTAAAACAACGAGGTCTCTGCGAGCCGAGTGAAATAACCGAAATACTCTCTATAGTTAACGTGGAGGTTTTCACGGGTTGTTTATTGCTCCCGCATGGATTTCGTCCAGAAGGCGAAATCCCGAGGAGGAACTCTAGTAACTCGCCCGTATATTAAGGAAAGTACTTACAGTTGAAATATACAGTCATACAGTCAATATAGAAAAAATCTCGATTTGCTTGAACAGGGGCCGAGAGGAATCGGTAGGTAATGATGACGTTTCTATTCTTATGGTTTAGAATAAACTATTCTCGAAACTGAGAATGTTTTGATCAAAACTGTGTAAATCGAATTAAAACTGTGCATGGAACATTTCCTGTATTTATCTCACCCATTGTATGGAATTTGTGTGAAAATCTTCATTATGAATCGGTGATTTCAAAGAGCTACACAATTAACGAGCAAGAATACTATTGACCGACGATATACAGAGCGGGGGCAGCTGTAGTGTCAACTATTACTAGTTTATTTGATTGTGTGAAAACACGGGAGCCGAATAGACGAATAGACCTTTCCCGCATTCCGCTCCAGTTAGACTACGAGTAGTCCCTCATTTTTCCTCAAGGATAGTTGAGCGAGCAAAACGCGCGTGAAAATCAACCCACGCGAGGAAAGGCGACACGCGGCCTTTTCTCGCGTGGGTTGATTTTCACGCGCGCTCGCGTTTTGCTCGCTCTACTATCCCTGAGGAAAAATGAGGGAGTACTCGTAGTCTACGCTCCAGTGCTCCAGTGAGCAAACAAAAAAATGAGGACGAGGCTGGGGTGGACATTTTCATACAAATCACTGTATTTTGTCCACCCAAGCCTTGACTTGAAACCTTTGTTTACAGGAATGCAGGAAAGGTCTATTGCCAAGGAGCATAAATTCAAAGAAACGAAAGATATCACACCGACAAGGGACAAAGGTTTTCGTCTGAACAGAGGCTGTTTTCGAAAATAAATTTTGTAACTTGCAGATCCACTTCTCATTCTTCATGTTATCGAATAGAATCCTGAAATTTCCAAACCTCAGACGAGTTGCGAGCGTGTATTGAGAAAGCTTACATGTATGTGGTTGTAACTTACAGTGTTTAAATAAGTCGATAATTTGAATTTCCTCCGACAAACACTCAACAATTTCGTACTCCTCGTAATCTTGACATGGTGCGGTGTCAGAGCCTGTAGCAAAATATTGCACAAACGGCTTAAACGCTGGCATGTTCCTCCGAGTGCTCGAGAAACGGGGAAAGAACGTTCTGTTGGAAAACGCGTGAAAACCATGGTAAAGGTTAATTGACGCGCGTCCACCAAACCGCAGGTTTGAACCGAAGAAAAAACCTTTGAGGGCGCCTGTTAGTGGTAACCGCTAAGGTAATAGCATGATTTGTAGTGATATTTGGCATAAATACCACGAGTGATATTTCGAAATTGTTATACGTAATTTCACGAGCCAGTAGGCGAGTAAAATTTGAGACAATTTTGAAATATCACAAGTGGTATTTACGCCAAATATCACGTACAAATCGTCCTATTATTTGTTTTTACTACTACCCACAAAAGGTTTGTAATTTTCACATGTAGGTATTTCATATTAATTTGAAATACCTACCTGCTCTGAGCCAATCAAATTGCAGAAATTCCTCATGTAGTAGTGTAATAGTAAATCTCTCAAACAGACTACAAAACAGATTCAGGCACTCACGTAAATTTTTCACCACACAGGGGATGAAATTGTAAAAGTTAGTCCATTTCCCTCCTGCATGGTTATCGAACGCCAAAAGCGCTTACCGTAAATGACCTAATAGACCCCCTCCCTCAAATAAAGGCCTCTTGTCTAATAAACGTACCCCCTACCCTTTAAAGTTGTATTTTTGGCCTCAGTTCTCTTCAATAAACACCTTCCCCCCGTCTAATAGACGCCCCTCTTGACAATTGCTCCAGAATTCCAGGAAATTGCGAAATAGAGCACAATCAATCAAGTTATTCAGTTTCTTGCTCGGATTTAAAAGTGTAAAGACATTGCATTTTGACGTATCGATCATGTGGACTGGATAGTCTGCCAGTTATAACCTGTGGTGATATATTGACCGAAAGCGTATACGTTTTTGTACAGTTATTAGAATAAACACCTGTCTATTTTAAACGCCTCTCCTATCTATTGACGGCCTCCACTTGGGCTGCTAAAATTAAATAGACGCGCCGGGTGTCTATAATCAATTTCAATCGGTTAATTAACTAAGAAAGAGGAACAGATTAATCAGCTGAATCAGCAGAATTGAATTATCATTCGGGGATTTCTCTCATGTGTATTTATGCCCGATTCAGACGCCGAACTTTTTATGAGCCGAATTTAATTAGAATTAAGGTCGACCCAAATTATTTAGACCGGCTGGACTGATCCAGACGCCGATCTTAATTCCAGCTGAACCTGAACTCAAAAGGAGAAAAATGCTCATTTCGGTCAAACTGCTTACAAACTGCCGATACAACATCCCATGCACAGGGTTTTCGGTAGCATTTGGAAGTACCGGATGCAGTGGTTCAACGAGCACCGTTCTTGCCGCTGGCGCGAACGTTGAGTGCCGGAGGCATAAACTCCTAGTGGGGTCCGGGTGTGAACGACCGCACGTTACATGTCAAACAACCGGACGTTGCGTCCAGCGTCCGGCCTGAAACGAAACCCCTGCATGCATAACGTACATGAAAAGTTCAGCGTCCGAATCAAAGGCGTTCCAAAGTTGTACCACGGTCAAGTTCCCGGCCGCGGTAGGTGGGAAGAAAGGCGTTCCTAATTGATTCAGACAATTCACTTTCTATGTACTTAATTCAATGTATTAGCTCCGGTTCAAAAACGCCGGGCCTTAGAGTTGAAGAGCAATGCCAAAATCATCGTGAGACGACGGCTCCGTGATTCTCACACCGCAAAAATTCCGAAAATAAGCTTCTCCATTAAGGCCAAGGGATGCAAATACAGTTGACTCCCGATAACTCGAACCCTCGCTAACTCGAACCTCGCGCTAACTCGAACCAAAATCGATTTCCCCTGGATTTCCGTCATACATTTACTGTAATTTTACCCTCGGTAACTCGAACACTCGTTAACTCGAAACTCCCGCTAACTCGAAGTAATTTTTGTTTCCCCTCAGATCATTTCTATATAACTTTACCCTCGATAACTCGAACCATGTTTTGAGCCCTTCAAAAGTCGGGAAAAAAGAGTGTACTGCCTCCGAAACATTGAATTTTGAATTTCCCATTGACGTGTTGTAGGCATATAGTTTACTAGTGGATCGATAGTGGAGGCTGATGTTGTTTGCCTCAAATCTAACGTGAAATAGCTTTACTTCTCAAAAAGTAAAATGCATGCTCTATTTAGGCAACGTTTTGTTACTTTACGTTCTGATTTATAATCTAACAGTATCTTTCAATTTTCACTAGACATTTTTACAATTAAATGTGATTAGAATACTCACTGCGCAGTAAAACTGTTTTTTTCCTTACTCCAGGGTATTTTCTTCGAGCTCCCGATAACTCGAACTCCCGATAACTCGAACCTTTTTCGATTTCCCTTGAAGGTTCGAGTTATCGGGAGTCGACTGTATAAATATATAGTATGCGTTATTTCTAGTTATTGATCAAACGGTTTTACATTGACCACGGGCCCATCTGGTCTGCACGGGTTCTAAGCCAATCAGAACACAGGATTCGTTTTATCTTGACCACTCGCTATTAAGATTTTTTTTGAAACACATGAAAAAGGGCCAAAAGGCTGCGCCCTATAAGCTCGAAAATCATGATAGCGAAGAAAAAGGAAAGGAGAAAAAGAAAGAGTGTGAAGGGAAAAAGGAAGAAAAGAGAAAAAGCAGCGGTTGCACTCTTATTGGCTACTTTGGAGAGAGTATTTGGCCGAAAAAGCTGTTTGACGGAAGGGGTCTATTTGGCAGTAACGTTTTCAAAAATCCGGCTGGTGCATAAATACCACATCCAATGTATAATAATATGTATATGTAGCCGGATTTATGAAAACCGAACTAGCGGGCTCCTCGAGGCCACACAACTTCAACTGACTCAACTAAAGTAAATATAGTAATAAAAAAAAAATGAACTCTTACCCGTGGGCCTTCTTAGGTGACTCTCTTCTTGGTTCCTGATTAGCAAAGAAACATTCAAGTCCATTAAAAAGACACTCTCGACTTGGCCATACACTCTAGCTACTCTAAGGCCTTACATGACAGAGGATGCTTGAGACTTAAGCAAGCCCTAAGCAGACTGAATTAAAGGCCAAAACCCCCCCCTGACCTGACCCCCCCCCCCCCCAGCCCAGCACGTGGGTCACGGGAATGCTTTCATTGGCCAATGGGAATAAACATGGGTATGACAAGCTTAAAGCAGACACATGAAGAGCAAGACTAACAGACCATACCACGCTTTTACAGTACCCTCCCCCCGCTAGGGATTGACTGACATATAGGCCCCTTTCCACCCCACGGCAAGTTAGTTCAGGGACTGAGCTTGACGAGGAGACCAAGCAGGACAGCAAGCCCCCTATAAAAATTCTCACTGTAGTGACCAGAAACCAGGCTATCACCAGGTTCCTGTGCGAATATTCTGTTCCCTATTGAGACATGTTTTCAAAAATTGGGCTAGATATACATAGTATAGTTATGCATAGATGGAGTCAGTCTGCCTATTTAGGTATGCTTCAGAGGTCTTAAATAAAAAAATTAATAAAATGCAATTTCAGTTATTATTTTTGACGTGTGCCTGACATTTGTGAAGTACGTGTATAAAGTCGGCAATGAGCTGCAAATGAAAAGATGCCTCCGCAGCTCTGTTTGGCGGAGTTTCACAGTAGCCAACACATACAAAAGAAATTCAGTTGTCAGCCTTCATAACCATAGCACTTCATTAACTACATTGTACTTGTATTTTAATCAACTGCGCGCAACTCTTGGCAACAACACTCCCTGCTGTCAACAGTCACAACTGACTCAACCAAGATCCAATCAGAATTTTGAATACTCTGACGACAGGCTTGATTGAACAAAAAGAAAAAAGAAAAGCGACCGCACTAGAATGATTTTATAGTGGTCATAACAGGCGAAAAAATTTCCCTTCTGACTGATCAAAAGCCATGCTTTGATTATTGATAGTGGCAACATGGAAAGTTCAGAACATGAGTCTACACAACTTGATGTTGCTCGACCGAACCAAAGGGACGACGGATCAAAATCAGCAGAATCTTCTTCTGAAAATGCACCGGCTGCCGAGTCCCTGTCGCCTTTAGATTACTTCATACGAGACCTGGATGAACGAAAAGGCAAGCTACCTTGTTGTCAAGAATATGTTCAAGAAGTCACTGACATTCAGACCAGTGTTGAAAATTTTCTTAAAGCTCTTCTTCTGGAAATAGAGAAAGACCTTCCTTTCTTCAAAACAACACTTATTAACTGCGGAAGCTTTTACGAGGGAACGAAAGTCGGAAAACCCGACGAGTTCGACTATTTTGTTCAGATGGATAACTTGTCTCAAGACATTCGCTTTGAGGAGTTGAAACATGGTATGGTGGCAGTGATTCCAAGCGAATCAGCTTTCGAAAAGCTTCCAAAGGTAAAACGTAGCCTTTATTCCTTTGACTGGAAAGTAAATATAAAGTCGCCGTTTGTCGAAGCATTGCACAGTAAGTTAGTCAAAGGGTTTAAAGCGTTCGGTCTGAAAGTCCTTTCAGGTGGAATGGGAAGTCTGGAAAGACATGGGCCTGCTTACACTTTACACCTCAAATGGACCGGAGGGGAACTATACAAAGGATTAATTATCGCCGTTGATTTGGTTTTAGCGGTGAAGATTAACTCTCATTCTTCAACTATGAAAGTGGATCTTGAATCTCAAGCAGGACGCGTAGTGTCGTCTTTGTTAATAAATACTTTACCATACTATTTCGCAGTGAGTGGATACAAGAATTACCCAGTTTCATCATCAAACTTGTTCAAAGAATTTAGGGAAGAGCAGAAAAAAAGAGTCTTGAGATTTCCAGTACCTGAACCAACAATCAGCCTGAGAGAATCTCATTGCCTTTTACGAATTTCTCAGTCATGTCTTGAACAGTCACTGTTCCGTGACCATTTTGGTCCTGATGGTGGACCAAGTGTCTGTCTCAGGGTGCTCAAGGTATTGCGTGACATGACTTGTTCACTTGATCAGTATAAGTATTGGCCGGGCCGATACACCTATGATAAAGGAGAATCCATTGACGAGAAAGTACGGAAATATATTAAAAATGATAAAGAAATTAATAATTCTGACGGGCATACAAAAATGCCCTCTTTGTGTGGTGTTACACAACCATGGCCAGATCTAGACAGTAGTAACAATTATATTTCTTCATACGTCCTCAAAACTCTTGTTTTGTTTGAATGGAGTAAAAGCCCAGAAGAAAAGCAGTGGACTGGGAGCAACCTCAGTCAGCGTATTGTGAACATAGTTACTACTCTTGTAAGAATCCTGAAGCAACTAAACGAAGGGATAAAAAGCTTTTGGTACAAAGACTACAATGTTTTTCCAAATCGTAAGGAAATAGGCCTTCGGCCAGGAGCCATCAACAGAGTGAGCATCATTCTTCAATGTTTATCATCCTTACAAACTGCCAGCAAATATTGTTTTGAGGATTGTGTTCAAACTCTTACAGATTTACTGACGGTGGCTCGCTATAAGACGAAATTGACAATATTTTTGCACAGTGCACTGGAAGATATTTTCGGTGATAAGATTACAAAGGTTCTGGAAGAATCCGTTGGTAAGACAAAAAAGCCGGAAGAAAGTCCCCCTATTCCAAAAGGTCCTTATTGGATGAGATTGATGATGAATTTACAAACGTCAGAAATTGTTGATACAGACTTTATGTGTGCGCCATCCGCTTTCTGTAGTATCTACATTCAAGCTCTTCTTGAAAAGTTAGCTCCAGTGGAGGATTTTCAAATTCTTAGTTCTTACTTCAAATGCAAGGACGATAGCATATCCGTGTCAGGTACTGATAGTTTTACTCAGGAAGAAGCTCAGGAGATTGTTAAGAATGCAAGAGATATATTTGAGAAAAATGCACGTAAAACAATGAACGATCTTCACAGTTTACAGAGTTTACCAGACTACAGTCTTTGGTCTCAGGAATTCGAACATGATAGGGTGGCAAGCTTGTTGAAGTTGCTGAGCGAGAACTTTAATAAAGACCTTGAAATCATGCATAATAGAATCAGAGCTCTGAAAGAATCAAGGAAGACTGGCAATAGTGTGTAAAATTGAGATACGTTTATGCCAGAAGAAAATACAAAGATCTGGGATCAGTTTATTATTCTCGGGAAGCTACTTAGTGAGAAGATGGTCTTAAGCGTTAGCCCAGCGAAAACAGAAGCACATCACATCAAGATCCTCCAAACAAATCAACATCTATAACAACAACAACAACAACAACATAAGCTTTATTTGAATGACTATAATTATGTAGTTACAGTATTGCAAAAGCTTTAACATAAAAAAAAACAAACAAACAAACAAACAAATCATAACAATGATAATGCAATGCAATAATTACTATAGTCAATCAAGTGTCATCAGCATGATTTGATAACAAATTATTACGTAAATCATTACATAATGAGACAAATTTCAACAAATGTGAATTTACGGAAAAATTCTGTGAATTCATCAATTTAATTATTAATTCTGTGTAAGATAGCTGATTAAAGTCGACAAAATTTTGTTGGATTTGATTGTAGAATTTCTCCCTTGGGATTGAGTATTTTGGACAATGAAAGAGAAAATGAAATTCGTCTTCAATTATACCAGAGTTACAAATAGGGCAGAATCTATCGTTGCGGGAAGTTTGATTATATCTTCCAGTTTCAATCATGAGTTTGTGGTTACTTATACGAATTTTCACTAAATCTTTCCTATTAGCAGAATTTCTAATTAAGTCTAGATAACTTGAAATTTTATAATCATGTTTAAATAAGCTGTAAAATTGTAGTTTCTTAGAATGATGGATTGTATGTTGCCAATATGCAATATATTTTTGTTTTATTATATCTATATAGTGTTTGATCTTAGCTTCACTTAAATTATTAGGATCAAAATCAGGGAGGTCATAATATTCAGATATTTTCATAAGATTATGGTAAAAGCTATTTTTACCATTACAGTGAAGTTCTAGCGAAGTACGAAAGGCTTGTTTAACAATAGTATCCTCGTTTTTACGCAGAAGATACAATATGTAATGAAGGATGTTTTTATAAATATTAATAATTAATGGCAACCGTCCTAATTCACTTCTACTTGCAACATTTGAAGCTTTATTGCTTATTTCTAGATAACGCTTGCAAAATTTCAAGTGGGTTTTTTCAATTGGGGTATTGTCCCAAGCTTTAAACTCATGTTTTACATATACACCCCAAATTTCGCTATTATATGATAGTGTTGAGAGTATTGAATCGGTGTCTAGTCCTTGAAATCTACAATTGATCTTGATAACGTTTATGAAGAATTCGAGGTCTTCATGAAATCACAACGGGACTTTAAGAAGAAAAGTAAAAGTCAGATTTCAAAAGACCCCGTGGAAATAAGCGCATGCATTATTTAGCGGAGGGATCTAAGAATTGAACAAAAACTAGCTGATATCAGCGACGAGTGACAAAAGTCCGTAAAGCAACTTGCAAATCTAGGCTCGAAACTTTCGTCAGAACTATCCAAAACACTGAAAATTAAGGCACTTTTTTTAGGGGGGGAGGTTGGGATGGGGGAACTCAAAATGTCAAATTGAGTTAAATGCATTTCTAAATTTCAAAGTCAAACTTAATCATCTGAACGAGCTTCAGAAGGGGAGTAAAACAGCGAAAACTGTTTCTCGCTACGACACGTAAAACCCGAGTTATAGGACTTCAAGGAAATTTAAGTGTCCCCCCTCCCCCCCCCCGAAACCATACTTTTCCTTAAAAAACGATCCCTATGATATTTTTTTCACAGTTTTTTGCAAAATATACTGATTTTCTGGTAACACAAAGCTTTTATAGTTGACTCAAAAACACTAATTTAAGCAAACCAAAAAAATGATCACAAGACATTTTATGACGTCACAAAATGTTTTCCATGTGCAGTTAGGAATTTCTTTTTTTCAAATTTCTTTTTCCTTTAGGTTTCGACAGTAAAGATGTGTTATGTTCAACTTAAATAGCAAGGGCGACTCGAAAGGGGTATCCCATTTTTGTGCTCCGAATCTATCCAAATTCAAAATGTTATATATCAGCTCATATTTGAGATACTGGAAAATTTTTTCAGCTTTCAACTCCCCTTGAATAGTTCTTTGAAAAACAGTATGAAAAATTGGGAGATTCAAAATTTTACAATTTACGTGGGGAATGACGTCAGCAAATGTGACGTCATAATTTGATATTTGGTCTCTTCCTATGAGCCATTTTGATTGGCTTGATGTTTCGTATTTTCAGGCCAAGTTTGGTAAGGAAAGAGTTAAAGCAAACAAAGATTGTCACGCTTTGATGATTCCTTTGGGGGGTGGTTTGGCGCTTTGGCCCCACCGGACAATAGCATTGTGACCCGGCCAAGCAACAATAAAGTGTAACAAAAAGTGTATAAATTAATCACAAAATGTTGGTCTAATTCACTGGAAAGATATATAGTCCTGTAGTTTAGTTATTAGGGTTCACGAAAAGTTGCTTATTGATTGGTTAACAATTTGATTGACCTTTAGAGTTAGTTATTGGTATTGTCAGAGATTAATTGAGTGGGAAATTTTTATAAGTTTGATATGTGGGGCAATGGTATATACAATCCCTTTTCTTCTTCTGTTTGCTTGGGAGTAATTCTGGTGGAGAGTTGATAGTACAGGCCTGTCACCAACATTGCGATGCCTTGGGTGTTGAGTTTGTTATTGGTTTTCACTCTTGCTATGAAAGGTTTATCTCTAAGCAATCCGGTGTCCTTCTCTCCTCTAAAACCAAATTATATTTTGTTCTGGATTGATAAGTAAAGAACCACCTTGCAGATGCGTTACCACTACCCTTAACCCAGGTAGCAAGAACACCCCAAAGGCCTGCCCTACCCGCAACCCAGCCACGAGCCCTGCCCGCTACACCTAACCCCAGCCCAAGAACCTGTCACACTGAACCGAGAGTTCAGTAGTGAAATAAGGACAATAATAATACTAATAATAATAATAAGGGGTGAGGAGGGAGGGGAAAAACACTAAAACTGAGCACGACACCCCGAACACTACACATTGTTAAACTACAAGCACATGTAAACTCGCATGCATAAATTGCAACTCTTGAGTAAACCGCTGACCCAGGGAGCACTGGAATTTGCCCCACAAGAGGGCTAGTACAGTATCGCAAACACTGCCAAATACGCTAGAGCATAGGATAACTTCCAGCTCGCCAAAGCACACCAATAAAATGCTAACAAACACAAATACCACACCAATACCACTAACATCAAGTTAACTACTGAGCAGCAGAGTAGCTCCTCATTGTCAACTAAGTTAAATAAGTATATTTAACTTCATTTTGCCTATTTGACAATGTATCCTATGAATATAATTTACTTGGCAAAAAGATTATTTCTTGCAGAGTTCCTGGGCTGTTCACATGTACATTGCCTAGTGAATGCAATCAACGTTCTCTAATACAGACACCTTTAGGACTGGCACTATGTCTCTGCCTTAGAGATGTCTGCCTAGTAGAGAGTGAACAAAGGCGGGGGCCAATTCTAGGTCTCCATTCTAGCGAGGTGTCTGTTTTGTAGAGGCATCCATTAAGAGAGAGTTGACTGTATACTAATGTCCTGAAGAAAAACTCATTGAGAACAGCATTCATTTCAACTGGAACTCAGTTTTTGCTTTCCTTCATATAATTTCAGCGAGGTGGTCCAGATTAGACATGATGTCCCTGCTGGCTGGAATCTTTCTCCATGACCTTGGAATTATTTAAGCTGTGGCCAGACTTTGCTGAATGCAAACAAATTCAAGGAAAAAGATAAATATTACTCCTTGACTTTGAAACTTTGACCAGTCATTTTTGGATGAAGACAAAAATAATAATGTGGACTGCAGTGAAAGGAGGTTAACTTTTATAAGAAAATATAATGTTATTTACAGTTGTTGGCAGTGACTGGAACTAAGTTATTTGCGACACATACCCATAGACGTTTTTTATGCTTGAAACAATTAAAACAAGAAATATGAAGAAATTAAATCTGTCAATAATAAGAACTGATGATCAAGAACTCGGCCATAGTAATAATATTACCTGTACCTTACCTTGCCTCTTCACCCCTCCATTGTGTACAAGGCCTGGTTTCAGTTGTAGTATTTTTTTAATGGGGATGGGACATTAACATGATGGATGGGACATCTCTCAACCTGGAAGGCCAGTTGTTGCAATTCATTTGTCCATTCATGCAAACCTGTCGTAGCCTGCACAGCGGTCATTTCCATTTCCTTTTAGGCCAAGCGGGGCAAGCAGGAAAGACGTGCAAGGCAGAAACGAGCAAAAAAAATTGCTCCACAGGCTAAACCTGCCAAGGCATGGTTGAATCTACAGGGGACCAGGGCCCCAATTGGTAAAGCTTCCAGAGCCATCAAGGTACACAAACCTCCCCATCACAAGCCAAAAAAATCTTCTTCAAAACTCAAGAAAGATGTGACTGAAATGAAAAAATGGTAATGGGTTGTCTGTGTTATTTAAGCAATAGAAAACATTTTGCGTATTTGCTTAGCCTGATATAAACATGACGTCTCAGGTTTGCATAACTGTCTCAAATTCTCCCAACCCCTTCAGTGTTCATATCAGGCTATGCAAACACAGGAAAACACAGTTTTCTATTGCTTTTATGAAATAACTTTCCCGAGAGAAAACACAAAACTCTTTGTTATGACACTGATTAAAAGAGAAATTCTTACCAGTCACAAAGTTTTGTACACTATGGTTTGATTATTGATAGTGCTAATATGGAAAGCTTAGAACATGAATATAAAAAACTTGATGTGAGTCGACCAAACCAAAGGAAGGACGAATCAAAATCAGCAGAATCTTCTAATGAAAATGCACCGGCTGCTGCCGAGTCCCTGTTGCCTTTAGATCACTTCATACAAGACCTGAATGAACGAAAAGGAAAGCTACCTTGCGGTTGTCAAGAAGTGACTGACATTCAGACCAGTGTTGAAAATTTTCTTAAAGCTCTTCTTT